GCAGGGGAAGTGGGAGGGGTAGGGGAAAGGAAAAAAGGGAAAAGAAAAAATATGAGAAAAGAAAAAAATGGAAACAAAGTCTTTGCAAATAGGGAAGTGTGGAGGGGGTGAAGGGAGGGCAGGGGAAGGGGGGAAAAAAAAAGAACCGAGATACTCATGTAATGGTACAAGATCCCAATGATGAATGTAACAGTATTTTATACCTAAAATGTATCAATAAACTTAATGGGAAAAAAAATTAAAATAAAATAAAAAGGGCTGGGCCGGGGATTAGGCTCAGTGGCACCGAATCTGCCTCACAAGCACAAGGTCCTGAGATTGATCCCTGGTACCGGAAAATAAATAAATAAATAAAAAGGGCTGAAGCTCTTGCCCAGCATGTGGGAGACCTTCAGTTCAATCTCCAGTATAATAATCTTTTTTTTTTTTTTTAGTACCAGGGATCGAACTTGGATCCTTGCACTTGTGAGGCAGGTGGTGGAACCACTGAGCTAGATCCCCGGCCCTATCCAATATAATAAATAAATACATGAATAAATAAGAAGGGCCTCAGAGAGCTGACTCCCTCCCTTCTTCCAAGGGAGGACACAGCAGGAGTCTATCAACCAGGAAGCAGGCTTTCCTGGGCAGCAAATCTGCTGGCACTTTGATCTTGGTCTTCCCAACCATGAAACTGAGAAATTTCTACTGTTTATAAGTTGCCCAATTTGTAGTATTTTGCTATACCAGCCAAAGTAGACTATAATAGGTATCATTTCTTGGAATCAAGATCCAGTCAAGATTTAGTCATACTAGGCATGGTGATGCGCATCTGTAATCCCAGCAGGCTGAGGCAGGAGCATTGCAAATTTAAGCCTAGCCTGGGCAACTTAGCAAGACCCTATCTCAAAAATTGAAAAAAAAATTTTTTTAAATGTAGCTCAGTGTGAAGGCCCTGGGTTTAATCCCCAGACACACACACACACACACACACACACACACACACAGAGATTTAGTCACTGCATTTGATGTTATCATGGGTCCCTGTATTTTTTATAAACTGTAAGGTTTGAAGGCTTGATTCAGCATGTTTGGCAGCAGGTCTTCATGGATGAAGATTATTAGGATTCTGAGCTCTGATTTAGTAGAAACTCCATCCAACAGTTATGTAGGAACCAACAATTAAAAACAGAATTATACTCTGTGCTGACAGAATTTTCTTAATTGCATGGTACTATACATATTAGTGAATTTTAAAGCTTTCAGCTGGGTATCGTGATCATTCCTACTCCTCACTTTTAAGGCTAATTTACTGTCAATAACTTAGTTGTAAAGTCTTTGTAAATAGGGAGGGGTGGAGGGGTTGAAGGGAGGACAGGGGA